TACCTTGAATAAAATGTTGTTTTGATGTAACTTTGCCACTACATTGGCGCCAGTGTTTAAAAAGTTCTGATAGACAGTTGACTTATTGACAGAATGTTATTACGAAAGTATAAATTAAGAAAATCGTGCAGAAAATTAAAAGATTTAAGAATACTTAACTACCATATAAAATTTTTTCTGATCTAACCTTAGAGCTTTGGAAAATTTAAACTTTTTTAATATAACCTTTGGACGTTTGAAATAGAATTCACGGGATGCGTATTGCAACTATCGTCAAAGAGCATGTACAAAAACTGAAAGTCGTTTAAAACAGATGTTTCGGTTAGAGCTATTTTATTGATAAAAATACTTGTATTATTAATATGTCTATATAAGATAACTGAATTTCTTAGTATACATCACAGTTGGTTCAGAACTATCACACCTAATATTAAAAGTTCAATTTAATATGGACATTTATTTTGTATAAGACCTAATCAAATCGACGATGGGATATCTGCGGAAATTTACGACAATTATAAAGATCCATTGCTACATTAAATTTTTAAAAACATAAGATTCATGATCCCTGTGGAATATTAAATTAAAATTCTTCGTTTATGGTTGATGGAAAATTTTCAAAACACTTTCCAAGACAATAAGTAGTGGAAATGATTGTTATCCACTTTATCGCCGGCGATTCACTAATGACAATGTAAGGTTATCAATAGTCCACTTGTGGTTATAATTTTTATGGGAACTCGGCGAAATAAACTAAAGTGAAATTCATTTGTTGTTATTTCACATTTTTTTTTTAATTAACACGGTGTTTATTATAAAGTTATCATAATAAAAAATATGTATTTGCAATTCAATGGAAACCGTGTTAATTAATCAGATTTTTGAAATAACAACAAATAATTTTCATCTTCGTTTATCTTACACAATTCTCATACAAATCGATATGTCACCACATTTTCTGATTCTGGCAACTAGGACGTGAGAAGCCCAAAATTTGTGTCTTATATCGATCCACGAGAAATATTTTCAAAAAATCTTTTACAAGTATTTATTTATTTTTAGATTCGAAATAATGCTCTGAATATAATTAGATAAAATCAAGGTTTTGAAGATAGAAAAAATATTTCAAAAGACTCTTCATTTGACCACTCTAGAGAGTACGCGATTATTATTTTCCTCAACCATATCAGAAATACCCTTCATACATAAACCGGGCTGCAATCCGTTTGTATTGGAATAAATGCAATAACCAACAATTATCTAAAAATAAATTCTACACATTATATTATTTAGTATACATTTTTGTACTTTTGAATTTACAGATTACGAAGAATTTATTAAAGGACTATCCGAAATTATGGTCCCAAAATATATTAATGAATTTTGCATGGGATTGAATTTTTATTATTGGACGTTGGAGTTTGTATATTTTATGCTATTATAAATATTTTGTGAATTATTAAAATGGATAGTCGAAAAATAATTACTTTCTGCAATTTGAGTTAGATAACTAGGTTATATAAATATTTTTTTACAATTTTATTCACTTATTGCCTATTTCGTGCTATCGCCGATTTACAATGAGAGATAGTTAAATGAATATTTTTATTTCTATTTAATACATTTTTACATCATAAATAAATATATATTTAATATAGTTTATATTACTCAATTATTGTTACAATTAGGGCGGGGTGTTCTTTTAACTCTCTAAACACCACTTTTTGAAATGTAATATTACAAAAGAAATAGGGATAATAACGTGCCGCTTCATTGTAAAGTGGGATTTGAGAAACATGAAATACGCTTTGCGTTAAAAATTGAAGGGAGACACGGGACAATTTTTTTGAAAACCCTGAATTTCCGATAAATCGGGACGTATACCAACCCTAGATGCATCTATTTCACTCAAAATCAAAATAAATATTTAGCAAATGTTATCATATAGTTACTTGATAAAATGTTATTCAATAACTATCATAACATCTGTAGAATTTTCTATTTATGTGCAGACCGAGGCAACCTAACAAGTCTCAGGTTATGAATTAATACATTTAATTAGAATATAATATTAATTAGGGAAAAACAACGAAAGATCAAGTTGTAGCGCGGACGTAAGGGAAGTCGCCGATTGAGAGAGAATGAATGAAAGAATGAAAGAGAAGGAAACCCACGCTAAGTGGTAGGAAACCAAACTCTCCATGTCAGTACGAGTAACGTGAACCTACTCAGACACGTTTGATTGCTCAAGTCTATCGTATATCTAAATTGCATTGATAGCTGACGGTTTGAATGAATTAACTAAATAGTTGTCTTCCCCTTCTCTGACCATTATTCTGACCATTATATGAGTAAAAACTTGATGCAGAGACAGTTTTTTTAAGCGGTTACTTGGTTTTTGGATCGCGTTGTGGTATATGATTGCATACCCATCATCCCCCCAACAAAACATTAAAGGATACTGCAGTGCGTCGTATGCTCGATGTATCTCACTGATACGGTGAAGTGAGTTACTTCGGTTTTCGAGGATGATGTCTCTTTGATCAAACTGCTGATCTACTAACACTAAAGCAACTTCATTTGCCGTTGGTGTATTATACCTGCCTCTATGTTCTTCTGGTGGTTTTTTATCTGCATGTATTACAACTTTAAATGACTCTGAAGGAGGTATATTATCGATGGTAAATTGTAATGATCAATTGTAAATTATGCGGTGGCATGCCTAGTAAATCCAATGAGTTTAAAAACTCTGTTGGATAATTTACAACTTCAGTAGCATCGCAAACTGTATCTAGATTTGTATGACACCAAGTTTTCTGGTAACAAATTTTGTATCTTGAGATTCAATTCGTTGACCTCCACATTTTTTGCTACTAAAATTGCTCTTTCTGCCAACCACTCATGATTTGTGTATTGTCTGTGTACACTGGGACATATCTGGTCAATGAGAGCATCTTGCGAATAAATGATTGTGCAGAAATCGTTCGGTAATTTTATACATCCCGTTTCATCCGTAGTAACTTTCCCATCTCCAATATCTAACAATTGTTTTGAGAATCTTTTGCACGCAGCTTTTTTTGATTGAATCGAAATCGAAGTATCGAAATCGTTCGCTATCTATCTTTATATATATTTCGACCATGAATTGTTGACAAAGCTTATGCATCGTAAAATAACTTAGTCCTGATCGCGTCTAATCATCAACCGATATGCATAATAATTTTTTGAACTAACATTCTTATTTGTTTTGGCACCTGTTGCGGGATCTTTTTGTTTAATATTTATGCAATACCCGTCATTTACTGCCAAAAATAAAATTAATAGTTTTTAAATAGTTTTTAATAGTTTTTTAATAATTTTTTAATAGTTTTATTTAATATAATTCATTTTCAATAGCGCAGTTATCGACCTGGTCAAAAAATATTAAACCGATTTCAACCCTTTAAATTCAAAATTTCGAAAAATCCTTTCTTAGCGCATGTCTACATCATAATAGCTATCTGTATGCCAAACAAAAAAATAATATAATCATATCTATTCTGATAAATTGCATTATGATGCGAATGCGCCACTTTATAGATCAAGATAATAGTCATGAAATTAATCAGAGTAGACACAAAAAAAAAAAAAAAATAGCCAAACTAATCTAAACTAAAATAATACAGATTTTTGCTTATTTTTTTATTAATATATTATTTCTTTGGTTGTTTAACTGCATTATTTGAAAACATTTTAATGCATTTAGATATTTAATTTTAATTTGATTTTAAAGTATTACAGCTTTTGTGGTCATTGAAATTATTATAGATTAGATAAAATAAGTAATAATAATAATTTGTAACTTTATTGAATTTATTTGAAATATTTTGATACAGTTTTAAAGAAGGTATAATACATTTTGGATGACAACAATATTATCAAGTACACTGAAAGACAATTTGTTTAAAATTAAAAGAATCATGATAAATATTGTTGAATATTTATATTTTTTTTAATCTTGTGACTATTTGCTATTCAAAATACTATAATATAACTGGATTTTTACTATTTTTATAACTAAAACTAAAACTTTTGGCATAATGTAGAATACTGTAATTTTAAGATTCCTGGATATAGACTATCTTTCTAGAGTATTAAAAGAAACCAAAATGATGGTATAATTGTATTTACCAGAACACAATTATGTGTAGAATTAGTTGAATACAAACATACTGTGGCTAATCTTATAAAACTAAATTTTGTAATAAATAATACTCCATTTACCATTTTATGTGTATACAGGTCCCCCTCAAGTGACATCAATGAATTTTTGCCCATCTTAGATAACATTCTAAAAGACGAAATAAATAATAAAGGCTATCAAATTATAATTAGTGATATGAATATAAACATTGTGGGTCCGAATTTCACTAATAACGAATATCTTGATAAGATATCACAATATGGATACGAACCATTTATTAATGTGTTTACTAGAACACCGCTAGGTAGCAAACATTCTTGTTTAGACCATATTTTTGTCAAAAGTAATAATAACATTAACGTTAACGGTAAAATTGAGGCTGGTGTGATTCAAACCAGTATTACGGACCACTTCTCAACAGTAATAGGTATTCAAATACATAACCAGAATCAACAAAAAAGTAATAACGTTTATAAGACAATAAATTACTGCGATCTGAATGAAATATTAAAAAAATACAATTGGAATAAAGTGTATATTAATAACAATGTTAATGAATGCTACAATGTTTTTATTAATAAAGTTGTTAGTGCTATAAGTATGACCACAATAACTAAAACTGCCAATTCAAAAAACAAATGTCTAAAAGAATGGATGACACCAGGCTTGCTTTGCTCTCTACCTAATAAACAAAAACTATCCTTAAAAGTTCATAAACACCCAAGTAATCACAAACTATGTACATACTACATACTTTATAAAAATAAATTTTCAAAAATTTTAAGATTAGCTAAAAACAATCATTACATAAATAAATTCAAATAGGTTTCATATAGCCCAAAATTAACATTTAAACTGATTAATGTAGCTAATACAAATTGCAAAATTAAAAATGATGAATAAATACATTCAATAATTTTTGGTAATGAAAACATCAATTCATCTTTAAACCCAATTAGGGTTTCCAATATTTTTAATAAGTATTTTACAACCATTGGGAGTAACCTTGGAGGCTTGATAAATAAATCAAACTTTCATTATGATGAACCAAAACAACTGAATCTTTTGATACAATTTTTAATGAAAAAATCAGTGTCGACGAAGTTTTATTAATTATCAACAATTTAAAAGATAAGACAGCAGCTGGACATGATGGCATATCAGTTAAAACACTAAAACTCATAGCACAAAATATCTCAGTACCATTAACCCATATTTATAACTTAAGCATATTGGAAGGTACATTTCTAGATATATTTAAACTAGCCATTATAAAACCATTATATAAAAATGGTGATCGAACAAGTATTAGTAACTATAGACCTATCTCAATGATCAGTAATTTCGCCAAAATACTTGAAAAGATAATAAAAAGTAGGTTAATACAATTTTTAGAAAAAAACAATATTCTGTCTAAAAACCAGTTCGGTTTCAGACCTAAATTAGGTACTGAAAATGCGTTATATAATGCACTTGATAACAGTAAAAAAGCAACAGGAATTTTTCTGGACATGGCTAAGGCTTTTGACACGGTGGATCATGCTGAATATACTTCCTAATTTTGGTATAAAAAAATCAAGTTTTAAATGGTTCAAGAATTATCTAGACAAAAGAAAAGAAAAAGTAAAAATCAATGGCATTTTAGGGGATGAAATGTTAATTACTTGTGGAGTACCTCAAGGGAGTGTTTTGGGTCCTACTTTGTTTATATTATATATAAATAGTATATGTGATCTTGATATCAATGGGCAAGTCGTAACGTATGCAGATGATACTTGTTTACTTTTTTCTGGTGATACTTGGGATAACGTTCAAACAAAAGCTACACTCGGTTTAAAGTATAAGGTTATTTGAATCAAAGAAAACTTACAATTAATTATAAAAAAAACAAATTTTATTAATTTCTCCATTCATAAAGATGAAAATAATTTTGATCATTTAAAAATACACAATTGTGGAAATGAACCTTGTGATGAGTTAAATTGTCAAAGTATTTTCAGAGTGTCGTGCACTAGATATCTAGGATTAATAATCGATAAAAACTTGAGATGGAATCTACACGTGAGTAATATTGTGTCACGACTACGAACAGTGACTTTCAAATTTTATAAATTAAGAAATTTTTTACCAGTTCATACATTAAGAATAATTTATCTTGCGTTATATCAAGCGATATTGCAATACGGGCTGCTGGTCTGGGGAGGTACAGCCAAAAACGCACTACAGCTACTAATAA